TAGAGCATCCAGCAGCCGCTGTCCACGCGGATGGAGTTGCAGCGGCTGAAATAGGGCTGCAGGTTCGGGTGGTCACTGCTGCACTCGTAGTGGCGGCCCTGGAAGCCCCGGTCCTCGTAGAAGGTGATCTGCAAGGCAAGGGGAGGAAAGGCTCAGAGGCCTGGCCCCCAGCCCCGGGGCGCGGGGGCCCCTCCCGGCCTGCGGCTGCGCTGGGCTCACCTTCCCCATGGCTGGTGGATGGAGGTCAGTGATGGGCCGCCGGCGCGCGGGTCTATATAGCACGAGGGCTGCTGCGTTGGCAAGAACAACACAAAAGGGGCCCGCGGGGTGAGGAGGGGATTTTCTCTCGCTCTTTTCTATATAATGACGGCGGGGGTGGGGTGGGGGACTTATTGTATGTTTCCTCTTAGACTCTCCAGTGCTTTCGAACTGATGACCCGCGTTAAAACTGTCACTTGGTGCCTCTGGAGCCTTTAAATAAAACCTGTTTAGGAATTTGGAACTGAGCAAAGGCCCTTGGCCAGTTAATAATTGTAATGAGGTATTTGGGCTATCTTTTACAGTTTCAGAATGATCTCCTTTTTGACTACCAAGGCCGGGTAGTGACTGAGACCGAGGTCAGCATAGGCCCCAGCATGAGGCATCTGGATTAGAGAGCATTTCCTTGGAGTGAGGGTTGGAGCAGGGACAAGAACCGCCTTCTCCACAATACGTTTGAAATTAGATGGGATTTCCCTCCAAGAGGTCCCCTCTCTGAACCTACAGGCTGGCAAGTGGCTACAGCAGATATGCTGACACACTTGAGGAGGGGTGACAGGGGCTTGGACCCCTAGAAAGCGTGCTGTGGAGGCACCTGGCCTCTGCTCTGCTTCCCGGACACTGGGCAGGACCAGGGCCATCTCTGGAGCCTCAGCTGGGGTACCTCTGGCCAGGAAACCCTCACCTTTGGAATTCATGAGGTGCAAGTTTGTTGTTCTTACTCTGTAGCTTTCTATTTAACTAATAATTTTGCAAAGTAGGTGCTAAGCTAGTTAGTTCTAGCTGCTGATGAATACAAGTTAACATGCAAATGTAACAAGTTAAAAATCCTACAATCTTAACCTTTCCTAGCCCTGGGCAAGTCGCCGGTTGCTCTGTAGTTAAGGCTCTGACTCCACCAAGACCCCCACCTCTACCCCTGGTGGCTCCTTCAGAGCAGAGTTTAACTCAGCTCTCTTTAGAGCAGAGTTTCTCAGCCTCACACTATTTTGACATTCTGGGTCAAAAAATTCTGTGGTGGGGTAGTTGTCCTGTGCATTTAAGGATGCTTAACAGCATCCCTGGAGTCAACCCACAAGATATTAGTAGTATTATTCTCCTAGTTGTGATAGCCAAAAATACCTCGAGACATTAGAGATGTTCCTTGGGGAAGCAAAAATCAACACTGGTTGAAAACCACTGCTTGCTTGCTTGCTTGCTTGCTTGCTTGCTTGATTTATTTATTTATTTATTTATTTATATTTTTTCAGAGAGAGAGAGAGAGAGCACAAGCGGGAGGGGCGCAGAGAGAGAGGGAGACACAGAATCCGAAGCAGGCTCCAGGCTCCAAGCTGTCAGCACAGAACCCGATGTAGGGCTTGAACTCACAAACTGCAAGATCATGACAAGAGCTGAAGTCGGACACTTAACTGACTGCTTTTGAAGAAGCTGTTCCTCAACTTGATACAATCTGATACACTCTATCTCATTCCTTAGTTTGGATTGTTGTGACTAAAGTCTACTGCTAAAAAATTGTTTTCCCTGAACAAATTTCATTTGTTGCACACAAGTTTAATAAGCCTTATTCACATTCTTTCCTTTACACATTCTTACTTTTATAGAATATTTGGAAACTATGGAGAAACATTTAAAACCATAGTCCTGTGTCAAAAAAGCACTATTAATATGTATTTTAAAATTTCTTTTCAGTTCTACAAGTGAAAGAATTCTAAAGACCCACTGCACAACAACGTGCATATAGATAACACTACTGCACGATGTGGTTAAAAATGGTTAAAACGGGGGGCACCTGGGTGGCTCAGTCGGTTAAGCGTCCGACTTCGGCTCAGGTCATGATCTCACGGTCCGTGAGTTCGAGCCCCGCGTCGATCTCTGTGCTGACAGCTCAGAGCCTGGAGCCTGTTTCGGATTCTGTGTCTCCCTCTCTCTCTGACCCTCCCCTGTTCATGCTCTGTCTCTCTCTGTCTCAAAAATAAATAAACGTTAAAAAAGTTTTTTTAAAAAAATGGTTAAAACGGTAAAAGAAAAAAGAGACACCTTTGCCCATAGTCCCACCCCTATTAATTTTCACTTCTTTGATCTAATAGTTTCATCTGTAAGAATTTGTCCAAAGGAAATAAAGGTACATGCAAACATTATGTATAGTGATGTTTTATCAGACCATTGTTTATAATATAAAAAAATAGGGCATTAATTCGGTAAACTATAGAGCATCTGTGTGACGAGGTGCTAGGCAGTTACCAAAAATCATGTTCTCAAATGATTTAAGGACATGGAAAATGCTCCCCATATGTTAAGTCTTTTTAAAGTAAGGATATTATACGCTGAAAAGTAGAAAATATTGAAGGAAAGAAGATATAAATAAATGGAAATACATCATGTGTTTATGGATTGGAAGACTCAATATTGTTCAGATATCAATACAACCCAAAGTGATCTACAGATTGAATGCAGTCCCTATTGAAATTCCAATGTTTGATTCAGGAATAAAAAGAAATCCCTCCTGAAATTCACATCGAGTCTCAAGGGACCCTAAAACTCAAAAGAATCTTGAAAAAGAAGAACAGAGCTGGAGAACTTGAATTTTCTGATTTCAAAACATATACAAAGCCACAGTGATGAAAACAGCATGGTACTGGCATAATGATAGACACAGGGGCCGGTGGACGAGAATAAAAGACTCCGAAACAAAGCCTCCCCGTGTAGTCAACGGAATTTTGACAAGGTTGGCAAGACCATTCACTGGAAAGGGGGAAGTCTTTTTAATAGATGGTACTGGGGAAAATGAATATCCACATGCGAAAGAATGAAGTTGGACCCTTACCCTACGCCATATAAAAAACTGGCTCAAAATGGATTAAATGTAAGAACTAAAACCATAAAACTCTTCAAGGAAAACATAGGGGAAAACTTTCATGACGCTGAACTGGGCAATGATTTCTTCTATGTGACACTAAAGCATGGGCAATAGGTAAATTGGACTTCATCAAAATAAAAACTTCTGTGTGACAAGGAGTGAAAGATCATGGAATGTGAGAAAATATTTGCAAATAATATATCTGATAAGACACTGATATGCAAAGTACATTAAGAACTCCTATAACTCATCAACAAGCAAAAAGCAAAAAAACCAAAAAACCAAAAAACATCAATTTTTAATAAAATGAGAGGAACAGACATTTCTCCAAAGAAAATATACAAATGGGCAATAATCATATAAAAACATGCTCAACATCACTAATCACTGGGGAAATGCAATCAAAATTACAATGGGATACTATTTCATATCTGTGAGGATGGCTCTTGTAAAAAAACAAAAAAAAATAACAACCGTTGGTGAGGATGTGGAAAAATTGGGAATGTTGTACATTGCTAGTGGGAATGTAAAATGGTACTATGGTAGACTGTTTGGAAGTTGCTTAAAAAAGCTAAGCATCTAATTCCCAGATGATCCAGCAATGTCACTTCTATGCATCTACCCCAAATTGTTGAAAGCAGAGATACAAACAGGTATTTGTGCACCAACATTCACAGCAGCATTATTTACAATAGCCAAAAGATGGAAACAACCCAAATACTCCTTGAGGGATGAATGGATGAAAAACATGTGGTATGTGCATTGAATGGAATATTATTCAGCCTTAAAAAGGAATGAAATTCTGACAAATGCCATAGCATGGGCAAACCTCAGGAACACTATGCTAACTGAAATGAGCCAGACAGGACGACTATTATATGATTCCATTTATTTGAGGCACATACAGCAGTCAGATTTATGGAGACAGAAAGCAGAACGGAGGTTACCAGGGGCTACAGAGCAGTGGGAATGGGGAGTCAGTGTTTCATGAGTGCAGAGTTTCAGTTTGGGGTGATGACAAAGCTCTGGAGATGAATAGTGCTGATGTTTGCACAACGTTCTGAATGTGCTTTATGCCACTGAATTGAACACTTAAAAATGGTTATAATGGTAAATTTTAGGTTATGTGTATTTTACCACAATTGAAAACATACTTCACGAGCAAAAAGACAAAAATACATCTATATTAATTTTATTAATATTAACTTCTTGATAATTCTACTGAGGTTGTAAGAACAAATTATATTCTAGGAATTAAAAGGGAATTAAACAGCATTTAAAACAGAGTTTATTTTAACTTACAATCCTCTCACTTTATAATGAGAAAAGAATAATTGATATAATTAGTGTCTTAAATTTTTTTTATTAGTACCTTCCCCTCTTCGGGCTTCCTACCTCTTTCTACCTTAATTCTTTCCATTCCAATTAGCTTATATCACAAAAGCTTATACTCAAGAACCTGATAACATTTCCAGGTCCTCTTTAATCCTGGGAATTTGTGCTCTGGACACCATTGTGTTGGAGGCGACGATGGTTGGGTGTTCGCCTTCACCCAACCTTCCTTGTATGGTGTCCCAGTTGTGCCTAGAAGCTCTCCTATGGTTACCAGTGATACCAGCGTCAGGATGATGCAGGTTCTAAACATGGTGGGAGACAGACAAAACCCAGGGCCCTGCTAGCATTGCTGAGCTGCTGAATCAACCATCCCTAAATCCTGTGCTGTCCTAGGACTTCTTATCACATGAGCTACTAGATTCCCATATCGCTCATCCATTTGATGTGGGGCTTCTGCTTCTGAAGTGATTCAGATTCATTTTTGGCTGAGAGATTAGGGTGAATTGTGATCAAGCTTTGGAGAAGGAGCTGCTCACCAGGGGGAAGGTGGGGAAAAATACTTCAGGTATGGAAAAGATGTGGGCAAAGACAGATGTGAAAATGCTTGGTGTGCTTGGAGGACTCAGGTGGGTCAGGAGAGTCAGGTAATAGGGGATGAAGTAGATGGGCTGGGGCTGGGTTCTTGTAAGAATTGTTTTCCTGTGGACAGTGGAGGAATATCAAAGCTTTTTAAGCAGGGAAACGACTTGATCAGATCAGTCTTTGAACATACACACCAATCCTCCTTTCTAAAATTCTAGTAATGAGAACACAAGACAGAGCAGAAAGTAGAAGAACCAATGTAAGTGAATGCAACATCCAAAATGTTGAGGGCCTTGAATAGAAGAAAAAGGTGGAGAAAGGACAAATTAGTTCTCTGCTTGAACTGAGACGTCCATCTTCTCTTGCCCTCAGACACTAGCTCTCCTGGTTCTCAGGCGTTTGGACTCGGACTGAATTATAATATAACACTTCCTGGCTCTCCCATTTACAGATCGTGGGGCTTCTCAGTCTCCATTAGGGAGCCAATACTTACCATAAATCTCATATTCTCTCTCTATCCTATTGGTTCTGCTCTCTGGAGAGCCTGACCAATAAACATTGTTTCAGGGGCTTGACCACATTAAGGCCAGCATTTCTGAAACTGTGGCATTTCCCCCACACTTGTCCCCTCTTGGGTATAAAATGCCTGAAAGAAGAAAGAACTGTGGCACCAGGGGCAGCCACTCCTTTTCATCAGGAAGGCAAAAGTTTTTCCAGAACCATCTCTTCTCTCTCCATCAGCATTCTTTCACTTATGTTTCCATATCCAGAGAGTGTCACGTGACAGCCTCAGTTAGCAAGAGACTCTGCCAGAGATTCATGAACTCAATGTGTACATACAGTTTAGGGGATTCAAAACCTTCTGAAGCCCATTATGGTAACCTAGCTTCAGGATCCCTGTGTGTGTGATGTGTGTGCGTGTGTGTGTGTGTGTGTGTGTGTGTGTGTGTTTTCAGAATCCCTGTTTTAAAAAGTGGGTCCCACTATCTCTGAACCTCAGTTTTCACATCCTCACACTTCAGAGAAAAACCGAAATCTAAACAGATTTTTAATAATCTGTTTTGAAGCAACAGCTTGTTTAAAGACCAGAGAATCACATGAGACAATGTATTGCAAAATGTTTTGCCAATTGTAAAGTTGTACTTAACATGAAGGCACGTTTTTATTGTGAGAGGTGTGTTTTATTTGTTATGGATCACACATCTTGGTTTCCGCTTGTGCTGTGTGGTTGTGCGTATGTGTGTGTGAGTGAATAAAACAATAAAATAAGAGGAGGACAAAAGAAAAACACAAGAAAACCAATGCCAGGAGCACACAGAAAATATTTTATTAGTTTCCAGATGGAGAATAAGGAGGAGTAAAAATATTTCAATAGTAATCCATGACTCTCCTCACAGAGCCCACTCGGGCACTCGTGGCCCCCCAGTCATGGTAGTGCCTGTAGTCCCCTGGCCTCAGCAGGTACTGCCGTCCCTGGTAGTTGGGCATCTCGTAGAGGACCCAGGAGCCCTCCAACACATGGAGGGAGTAGATCTCATTGAAGTGCAAGCGGTCTTGAAGAGACGGGCAGTCCTCAGTGATCTCTACCATTTGGCCTCTGTAATCTTCCCTCTCGTAGAGCCTGATCCTGTGGGAGCCAGCCTGACCCATCCAGAGATGGAAAGAGGAGAAAAGCAAACTATGAAATGGATGTAACACATTCAGGCAGTCCAGCTCAAGGTATTTTGTAATATAGGATAAGCCTTAACTAATTCTCCATATTAATATACTCTCCATTTTCAAAGGTGGAAATTCGGTAACTTTTCAAAACCATAAAGTGTGACGGAAAGAGTTAAGAAGGAAATTCCACTCTTTCTGTGTTCAAAATTTCCCAGGATAAACTATTAACCGAGTTCAGTATACCCCACCAGAGAGAAACCCAAACCTTTAACAGCTTATTACTACTTTTTCCATTTGGGGGAAATATTTTTAATTTTTCAAGCAGGTGTCTTTGAACAGTAAAAGCAGCCTATGAAATGAATGATCTTGCATTGGATTTAAAATAAATCTTGGAAAAATCACCAAGGACTTGGATGTTTCTGTTTCTGTGGAAAGCAAAGTTAAGCATCTTAAGTCTCTCAAAAATCATTGATTCTCATTGAATCATTTATGAATACAATAAGGAAAAATGAGAAAGAAAAATCAGTAAGCCCAAGGACTCGTTTTTCAAAAACCTTAGTGTTTTAAAAAAACAGGTATTTGAAATATACATGGGTATGTGCATAAAATTTCTCTGTGTTTCTCTCCATTGAGAGAAAGCACTTTTTAAAAAAAATTTTTTTTTTCAACGTTTTTATTTATTTTTGGGACAGAGAGAGACAGAGCATGAACGGGGGAGGGGCAGAGAGAGAGGGAGACACAGAATCGGAAACAGGTTCCAGGCTCCGAGCCATCAGCCCAGAGCCCGACGCGGGGCTCAGACTCACGGTCCGCGAGATCGTGACCTGGCCGAAGCCGGACGCCCAACCGACTGCGCCACCCAGGCGCCCCAGCACTTTTATTTATATAGGTCCGGTAAATCAAAATATGCAAGTGGGGAGCAAAAGAGAGAAAAGTCTTTTAAACATTAACCCTTGTAAAAGTTTCCTTTACAATGCCTCACTGCTCTGTGACTACGGTATATTCTAGCAGTTCATTACTCTTCTATGGGATATTAGTGCTTTTTCTACAACTCCATTGTAAGTTGTTCCAGGACAGGACCCATAGCTTTTACATGTCCAGGCCAGCCGACACATTGTTGCTGAGTAAATATTTGTTGATTCATTGGTGCCTGGGTAACACTTTGCTTCCGTCTGGGGCAAATGACATTGAGCTACTCTACCATAGCTGGTCTTTTGTCCAGACTCAATTATTCTTGATGATCACTACTCCCGATGGTTAGCCTTTGCTTGAAACTACCCATTCTGTGTCCTGTCACGGGGCTGGACTCACGTGGGGGATGAGGCGGCAGGAGCGGACCGCGT